CTGGGTGGAAGACTTACCACAGCGATAAGCAAACCAACCCTTGTGAAGGCGACCGACTTAGGGTTCAGTGATTAGGGCCCTGGGTGGAAGACTTACCACAGCGATAAGCAAACCAACAGTTGCGTACGGGTTCTGGACTGGTTTCTGGAATAATGGCGTTGTCTTGGTCAAAGGGGCTTCAAGGTTCGATCATGAATTGGGTGTTGGGCCTGCAGGGCTCAGGGTTGAGTTCTGTTTTGTCTGGTTCAGGGTTCACGGCACCGCAGATGCCCACACCTGCAAATGTGCCCCGCCAGGATAGTCGTCGTCGTAGACGCACACCATCCACTCCTACAGCAGGGGCTAGTCAACCCTAAACCCTAAACCCAAACAAACCCTAACCTAAACCCAAAACCCCAACCAGCGTTGAGGTGTTGGGATCTAAGTAGCAAGATTGCCATCTGGGGCTTTGGGCTTCGGCCACTACCATGCCAGAACCCGATCCCGAAGCCTGACCTAAACCCCAAAGCCCTGCACAAAAAGCGAAATGGGTAGTTCTCTACAGTAGGTCACTTTGGGGGTCCTTTTTATAAGGGTGCCGCACTATATTGGGGACCTAAAACGGGACCCGAATTTAGAAAACTACCCAAATAGAACCGACTTCGAGTCCAAAGACCATCGCCTTAGAAGCCCGAAGTCGGATTGACCTGAGCTTGCCCCCGAAATGCTGAACTCAGAACTCTAAACCGTGAGCCCGAGACGCTAATAGCCTAGCCTTTGTGAGGAAGCCTTAAAGCCTTAAACTCAAAAAAACCCTGAGTCCTAAGTCCTTAAATCCCACAACCCCAATGCCTAACTCTCCGCCATAAACATCTACCTCCCGAAGAAGTCGTGGAGGCTGATGGATGGCTCGAGAATCCAGAACCGTGTGGATTACTCTGATCCTCGAACCCTTAACTCCCTAAACCCCAAACCCTAAACCCTAAAAACCCCAAACCCCCCTAAACCCTAAACCCCTAAACCCCTAAACCCCTAAACCCCTAAACCCCTAAACCCTAAACCCTAAACCCTAAACCCCTAAACCCGAAACCCGGAGACCTCAAAAACCCGAAACCCTAAACCCTAAACCCAAAAACCTAAAAAACACGAGTCAGCCCAGAGTCGAAGGGCTCTCCGCACGGGTTGTGAAGCCCTCCGAGACGAGGCTGGGTTTGATTCTTTGGACGGGTGGGTTTAGGGCTTTAGGGTTTAGGGTTTAGGGTTTAGGATTTTGAGGGTTTAGGGTTCAGAGAGGTTGAGGGGGTTTAGGATTTAGAGGGTTAAGGGTTCAGAGCTTCAGGGGTTTAGGGTTTAGAGGGTTTAGGGTTCAGAGCTTCAAGGGTTTAGGGTTTTGGGTTTAGGGCTTCAGGGGTTTAGGGTTTAGGGTTTAGGGTTCAGAGCTTCAGGGTTTTTGGGTTTAGGGTTTAGGGTTTCAGGGGTTTAGGGTTCAGGAAGGGTTCAGACCCCGGGTCGCGGGTTTGGGGTGCTGGGGGTAGGTACGAAGAAGCTGCAGGCGAAGGCTCCTAGGTTCCTGAGTGACCCCTTTATAATAAGGGTACCCTTTTTCCTGCTATTCAGTTTTAATAAGGGAACCAGAACCCTAAACCCTAAACCCTAAACCCTAAACCCTGAACCCTAAACCCTAAACCCCAAACCCTAAACCCTAAACCCTAAACCCTAAACCGGGAACGAGGCTCTAGGGTTTGAAAGTCTTGTCGGTGCTCTGCTCGCACTCTGCAAACGTGTGGGTTGCTTCTCTACATCAGGGTCCCTGCACTGGAACGGTTTAGGGTTTAGGGTTTAGGGTTTAGGGTTTAGGGTTTAGGGTTTAGGGTTTAGGGTTGGATCCCTACAAGAATACGCCACTCTTATCATAAGGACTTCAACCAGGGACCCCAACATAGATCAGTCCTGAGGTGGTACTGCTTTTGAGAAAAGCGGCCTCTATAGGTGTTTTCCGGTGCCTATTCAATGCTTGGAAGATTTTCGGGCGAAGTCTATGATGCGTTGTCTTTGGCCCGACGGATGTTAGTTGTTTGTGTTTTTTGTCTCTTCCTTTCTGCGAATAGTCCATCTTAAGGCACCCTCCAAAGTCCCAACCCTCCCATCCTCAATCCTGGAGCCATAAAAATAAAACCTGAGGCCCCAAAAACCTGTAAAGATAGGACTTACCCTGAAGGAAACCTTACACCCGAACCCCCAAGCCTGACCCCCAAGCCGAAAATCGTAACCTCTCAAAAGAACCCTTAACCCTGAACCCCCAAACCCTAGCGCCCCCCATTGCAATACCAATCTGAAATCCTGGGCTTAGGCTCGGGTGCTTGGTGGCATTTACCCAAGAATAAGGTTTGGGTCTCAGTTCTGAAGCTCACCCAGACTGCAAGCCAACCCAAGCCCCCGCAAATCTACCGAAGCACGGTCAAAAGGGTCACGGGCAACATAGGCCGCCGGCGAAGTGTTGCGGGGGGTGGGGGGCCATTAACGGCAGCACCACATTGAAACACAAGAATCTTATACCCTAAAGCCCGGTTTGGTTTCGTCATCCATTGCGACCGTGAGTGCACGTGTTGCGGGTTGCTTACAACCAGCGTTGTTGCAAATTCTGCGAGAGCAGGAACGACGAAGAGGTATAGGAACACGCGTGGTTTACAAGGGCTCGTGTGCTTAGAATGAAGAAAACACCGTAGCAGGAAGGCTCAGAAGCGGTGAAGCCCTGAAGCTCTGCGGCTTCGGAAAACCGAACTAGGCTGACGCTTATGAAGACTT